TCTCCTTGCTTCCCGCTCGCGCAGGCGCGCTCGGCATGGCGGACGAGGAGATCGCGGCGCTCGTGGTGGACAACGGCTCCGGCATGTGCAAGGCCGGCTTCGCCGGCGACGACGCCCCCCGCGCCGTGTTCCCCTCCATCGTGGGGCGCCCGCGGCACCAGGGCGTCATGGTGGGCATGGGCCAGAAGGACAGCTACGTGGGCGACGAGGCGCAGAGCAAGCGGGGCATCCTCACGCTCAAGTACCCCATCGAGCACGGCATCGTCACCAACTGGGACGACATGGAGAAGATCTGGCACCACACCTTCTACAACGAGCTGCGCGTGGCGCCCGAGGAGCACCCCGTGCTGCTCACCGAGGCGCCCCTCAACCCCAAAGCCAACCGCGAGAAGATGACGCAGATCATGTTYGARACCTTCAACACGCCGGCCATGTACGTCGCCATCCAGGCCGTGCTCTCCCTTTACGCCTCCGGCCGCACCACCGGCATCGTCATGGACTCTGGGGACGGCGTCACGCACACGGTGCCCATCTACGAGGGCTACGCGCTGCCCCACGCCATCCTGCGCCTCGACCTGGCCGGCCGCGACCTCACCGACTACCTCATGAAGATCCTCACRGAGCGCGGTTACAGCTTCACCACCACGGCCGAGCGGGAGATCGTGCGCGACATCAAGGAGAAGCTCTGCTACGTGGCCCTGGACTTCGAGCAGGAGATGGCCACGGCGGCCTCCTCCTCGTCCCTGGAGAAGAGCTACGAGCTGCCCGACGGGCAGGTCATCACCATCGGCAACGAGCGCTTCCGCTGCCCCGAGGCCATCTTCCAGCCCTCCTTCCTGGGCATGGAGTCGTGCGGCATCCACGAGACCACCTTCAACTCCATCATGAAGTGCGACGTGGACATCCGCAAGGACCTGTACGCCAACACGGTGCTGTCGGGCGGCACCACCATGTACCCGGGCATCGCGGACAGGATGCAGAAGGAGATCACGGCCCTGGCGCCCAGCACCATGAAGATCAAGATCATCGCCCCGCCGGAGCGCAAGTACTCGGTGTGGATCGGCGGCTCCATCCTCGCCTCCCTCTCCACCTTCCAGCAGATGTGGATCAGCAAGCAGGAATACGACGAGTCGGGCCCTTCCATCGTGCATCGCAAGTGCTTCTGAGGGCACCGTGGGCGCCGTCGCCCGCCCTCGCGAGCGGGGAGCTCCTCCTTGGAGCGGAGTCGCCCAACTGCTCCTTATTTTCTGTTTTAACCTGGTCATTAAGGTACCGGCTGCATAGTAACCCATCCTGTGCACCCCAACGGGGTTGTGGMCGGTTCATTAGTATTAGTGAAGAGCGGTGACCCCTTAGGCTGTAGCTCTGTGGCTGACTAGTCCCCCGCCGTCGCTCTTGCCCTCTGGGGAACTACACAAAGGGTTGGCCACTTTGCACTTGTAACACTGATAAACGGCGCTGAAGTAGCCTCATCACCTCTAGGTTTGTCACAGCCAACCTCTTTGTAGGAAAGTTAATAAACTTCTGAGTCTCAAGACTGAAAGCTTATCTCATATTCTTTCAGAAAGGGCTCTGGATCTCGCCACTGCTGGGTGCTGCGTGATGTGAGGTTTGGGCTCAAACCTGGGCGGTTGCTGTCTGCTTAAGCTTGGACACCTTGCTGCTCCCCACCTTAAGCTTGGACACCTAACTTGGACACCTAAATTTGGGGAAACACTGGGCAAAACGTGTCGCCTCTTAAAACTGGCTGCGCTGCCTTGTGCCACTCRGACCATTTTAAGAGCTGTTGAGAAGGGAAGCGTGAGTGGTATGCGGCTCCCGCAGCCTTTCTGTACTTTCATGGTAACTTGGCTTTTTTTAGAACGTAAACAGCCCATCTTGTCTGAAAAGCTGGGGTGTTGGCACAGGTTTTTAGGGAGCAGAGGAATAGCTTGCCCTTTTTTGGGAGAAAAAGGGCAAAGAGGCGAGTGTCGCCGAGGCAGCCTGGGGCACGCGTGGCTCCTGCTCCGGGACGTGGTTGTGCCTGGAGAGAGGATGAGATGGCAAAAACCTCCTTAATCACCATCTTCCCTCATGCAGGTGCAACCTCAGAGGGTTTCCCTGCCCTCTGCTCTCCCACGCCTCGGTTTTGGGGTGAAAAGGCGCTTTTTGCGTTAAGCTGTGGCGGCGGGAGGTGTGTGCGGGGGCGGGGGGGAGCGCAGCCGGCACCCCCTCCGCCCCGCCCCGCGCCGCGCGGGGCTCTGCGTGCGCCGCGCCCCCGCAAGCCCCTTTTAAACACCCAGCCGCGCGCCCATTGGCTCTCCGGCGCGCGTCATCGCCCCTTCCGCCAATCAGCTGCCGCCCCCTAGCGGCTCTCCCCTTCCTTCGGTAGACTCGCTTTCCCAGGGTGCACCTGCGGCGGGGGGGGGGGGGCGGTTCCGTTTCCGGCGCAGTCGGTGGGCGGCCGGCGCTGAGGTGGGGGCCGGTGCCGGTCTGGGGGTTGAGACCGGTCCTAGTGCGGGCACGGGCCTGGCCTGGGGCGGCGGGGCCGGCTCTAGGCCTGGCCTGGGGCGCCGGGGCCGCTTCTAGGCTTGGTCTTGGCGGTTGGTGCCGGTCTGGGGGTTGAGACCGGTCCTAGTGCGGGCACCGGGGCCTGGTCTGGGGCCCCGGAGCTGGCTCTATGCCTGGTCTGCGGCGGCAGGGCTGGTTCTAGGCCTGGTCTGGGGTGTCGGGGCTGGTTCTAGGCCTGGTCTGGGGCGTCGGGGCTATTTTTGGTCCTGGTCTTGGCGGTTGGTGCCGGTCTGGGGGTTCAGGCCGGTCCTAGTGCGGGCACTGGGGCCTGGTCTGGGGCGCTGGGGCCGGTTCTAGGCCTGGTCTGTGGCGGCGGAGCTGGTTCTAGGCCTGGTCTGGGGTGTCGGGGCTATTTTTGGTCCTGGTCTTGGCGGTTGGTACTGGTCTGGGGGTTGAGGCCGGCCGTAGTCCGGTCACCAGTGCCTGGTCTGGGGCGCCGGGGCCGGTTCTAGGCCTGGTCTGGGGCGCCGGGGCCGGTTCTAGGCCTGGTCTGGGGCGCCGGGGCCGGTTCTAGGCCTGCTCTTGGTGCTTGCCGGGGCCTAGCCTGGGCGGCTGGGGCCAGGGGCTGGTTCGAGTCTAGTCTTGGCGCTGGCTCTAGGCCTGGCCCGGGCGGCCGGCGCAGGGGCCGATGCGGGGCCTGGTCTGCGGGCTGGGTGTCGGGCCGGTGCTCAGGGCGGGCTCATTTCTCCGCTCTTGGCGCCTCCGCTCCCGGTGCTGCGGCCGCCGGAGGTCGCTCCTGCCGGGGCCCCGGTCCCGGGTGAGACTTGAGCTGGCTTTGGCGGCCCCCGCTGCGCCCGCGGCCRTTCCTCAGCGCCTCCCTTTGCCTCCTTCCCCGTGCGCAGGGCCGCGCGGAGCGCGGGCACCATGTCCCTGTGCGAGTGGCACATCGCCGTGAAGCTGGCGGACCAGCCGCTCGCCCCCAAATCCATCCTGCGGCTCCCGGAGACGGAGCTCGGCGAGTGCCCGCTGGGCGGCTGCAGCATCTCCTACCTGAAGCAGCTCATCACCGGGAAGCTGCAGGAGTCCGTGCCGGACCCGGAGCTCATCGGTAGGGTCCTGCGCGGCCCAAGGGCCTCTCCCGGGGGCTCTGCTCAGTTTCCCAGCAGCTGGGGTTAATTAGATGCTAATTATATGTGCGTTTCACTCGGAAGTGTTTTAGTGGTACCAAAGTGTCCCKCACTAAGGGAAGCTTTGGAAAGCTGTGCCCTCTCCCAGATCTGATCTACTGTGGTCGGAAGCTGAGGGATGACCAGACGCTGGATTTCTATGGCATCCAGTCTGGCTCCACTGTTCACGTCCTGCGCAAGTCGTGGCCTGAGCCGGACCAGAAGCCGGGTGAGGCTTGGGATAATCCTCAGCAGTCCTTGGGATGAGCTTGGTGTGGGGTCCCGTGTGACTGGGGAGCAGCTTTTCCTGGGATCCRCTTCAGAAAAGCGGGTGTGGGATTTGGACAAGGCCCTGGCCCTTTTGTTGGAACTCRCTGCTTCCCAAGCAGCAAATGGGCGCTGTGTTTCCTTGCTGGCCGAGGAAGGAGTCGCGGGATGCAGAGAGCAAACTCCCCCTCCGTGACTGAACCGCTTCAGGGTGTTGCCCGCGAATCACAAACGCAGCGGCAGGTCGCTGCAGGTGTGTCCTGCTCTGCCAAACCGTGGGATGAAACCGGTTAATTTAAAGTTCCTGTTTCAACACCTCCTCATCCGTGTGGGAGGGTGTGTGTACATATTTTTGCGTGCCTAGAAGCTGGGAGTCTTTTTACCATCCCTGGGCATTGCCTTGGTGAGCTGTGGTAAGCAGTGAGGCACTTGCAGGTGATCTTCTGTACCCTTCTTCCCGGGATGAGATGAATCCAAGGGATTACAGAACCACCGTTGCCCCTGCAGCAAGGAAGCCCTGAAAGAGGCTGGAAACGCTCACAGCCCTGCCAGCAAGGAGGGASTGACGCTCTGCTCTTGCTCTTCCCGCAGAGCCGGTGGATAAGGTGGCAGCCGTGCGGGAATTCCGGGTCCTGCACACAGCCCTGCACAGCAGCCCGGCCTACAGGGACGCGGTGAGTGCGGYGGCGCTTCCCGGGAAACGGCGACGTCCCGGAGAGGGGCCCTTCGGCGACGCCGCTGGGCCCTCCGCTTCCACGGGCAGGTCTTCAAAATGCTGGGGAACAAGGAGTCCTTGGACCAGATCATCGTAGCTACTCCTGGCCTCAGCAGCGACCCCGTCGCTTTGGGTGAGGCTCAACGCGAGCCGGAGGGTGCAAAGAGAGACGGGGAAACGTGGTTGGTGTTTGATTCGTGCCGTGGAGGAGGGAGGGAGCGCTTTTCTGTGGAGAAGGCGCCCCTTTCTGACACGTAAGGGTGCCAAGCATCTGCTAGAGAGGCGGTTAAACTCCGCTATAGCGTTTGGGGATGGGCACGAGCTGGAGGGGAGCTGGCGGTGCTCTTTCCTACTGCTAAGGGTTGCAAAGATGTTAGCAAGGGTCAGCGTTGGACCCGCGAGTTCGTAGCCTCGGGAGAGGTGGGAGCAGGCGCCAGGGCTGAGCAGGGGCGGCCGACGCTGCGCCCGGGAGCAGGAGCTGCCCTCGGTGCCTGGGCAGGAGCCGCTCTGCCCGTGGGAATGTGCTTGTGCCGCGGAGTCTCTCTGCGGAGACGTGGAGGGTTGTGAAGGGAACAATGAGGGGGTACTCACGGTGCCGGCTAGTGACTCAGTTCCTGAAAAACAATAAATTATTTTTGGTTTTCCCATGGCTCTTGTTTGCCTGGCGGCTGTGGGTTTTCTGTATCCTGCCTCTCACTTGTGTTTCCTGGTCTTCCCAGGAGTCCTGCAGGACAAGGATCTCTTCTCCGTGTTTGCAGACCCCAACATGCTGGACACGTAAGTTCACGCTTGGCGCAGTGGCCAAGCAAGGCCTGGGTGCTGCTGCTGCWGCAGCTGCTCTTCTCCGTGTGCCGGAGGTTCTGCTCCCGTCTGCCAATGCTGCTCCCCCCACGCAGGGATTCAGGGTAGGGCCCTTATCCAGCGACAGAAAAGGGGGAGCTGAGGCTTTGCCTAGGGCGTTGATACGCACATGCCTCCAATACTGCACAGGCCAAAGGATATTTTGTGAGACACAGGGCTATCCGTGCGTCCATATCACGGGATCAAACCCAGATTCTGTTTCTCACAGCAGAAATTTACTCAGGAGATGTGTGAAATGGGGGAGTCACCACAGGGTTAGGAAGGAGCTTCCAGCTTTCCGATCCAGGCCCTCATCGGTGCCGGTTCCACTGAAGGTGTCGACAGGAACAGAGAGGGGAGGATGACTCCCATGTGGGGCTCTCCTGGGAGGTCTCTGCGTGGCTGTTGCGAGTGCTTCTGCCCGTGCTGAGGCGCTGCTCTCCGTGCCCGTGACGCATCCTTCCGCTCGTCCCTCCAGGCTCATTCCCGCGCACCCGGCGCTGGTCAACGCCATCGTGCTGGTGCTGCACTCGGTGGCGGGCAGCACCCCGCTGCCAGCCCCGGAGCCCTCCTCCCGCAGCCTCTCGGCCGGCTCCTACCGGGAAATGCCAGGTGGGTACAGCCCGCGCCGTGCTCACCTCTGCTGCCTCGTCTGGAAGAAGAAAGAGTTTGGAGTTTGCGAGTTCGTGGTCGTCCTGTAGATGTTTTGTCCCGAGGGTGAGACTCATCTGGTCCACGTCCGTGTCGGAGCCTTCCCCAACTGAGTTACAAAGCACTTGGCTTCACTTGCCTGCAAACAATGGGCTTGAGCTCTTGCTGGTGCTGAGGCCTCCCTCCTACTCAGCACTTCAGCTGGAGCTGGGCCAGGGCCCTGGGTCTCCCCGGGATCCTTGTTTCCTGCCAGTGCCCGCTTTTCCGCATCTGGTTTCTCCGTTCCGTTTCAGGCGGCTTTCTGTTTGAAGGTCTCTCGGATGAGGAAGACGACTTTCACCAGGTGATYGGGCAGCTCGCGGGCCGGCAGTGTTTGGGAGCTTGCCATGTGGATTTGGCAGCACTGCCAGTTGTTTTGCTGCTGGCTGTTGGCGCTTTGTTTATAAGCTGGTGAATGATAGATTGAAAGGTTTTCTGTCAACGTCTGCAACAACGGAGCCTGGGAATAGGCGCCTCTGATGGCGTGTGTGTGTGTGTGTGTGTGCACCGAGAGCTCCACGCTTGGCTTTCACGTGCTGTGGGGAAGGGATCCTGGGGCTGGTGGGCCCCGGAGCCCGCAGTCACGGGCGTGGGTTTGTGTCCCCTCCGTGCAGAGCACGCGATCGACGCCGTCCAGCAGCGCGTCCGGCTCCCGGCCCGCCTCCCTGGGCTACTCGGGGGCTGCGGGGCCGCGGCCCATCACGCAGAGCGAGCTGGCCACCGCGCTGGCCCTGGCCAGCACCCCGGAGAGCAGCTCCCACACCCCGACTCCTGGCACGCAGGTAGGAGGGCAGCGCAGCAGCCGGGCCTCGGGAAACCACCCGCTGGGCCGGGGGGCTCCGCGCAGGCCTGTGGGCCCCGGCCGGGTGGTTCTCTGACAACTGGGGTCTCAGCCCCTTTGTGGAGCAGTAACTGGAGTAATCGGCTCCAGTTCTGGTGGCAACCGCGGCCTCCTGATCCTCACACAACCTGTTTCCTCCCAGGGTCACTCGTCTGGCACCTCCCCAATGTCATCCAGCGTCCAGTCGGGAACGCCCATCACCAACGACCTCTTCAGCCAGGCCTTGCAACACGCCCTGCAGGCCTCTGGGCAGCCCAGCCTGCAGGTGAGTGTCTCGGCCTCTTCCCTGGGAGCCTTGGAAAGTGCGGCGTTGGGTGCTGCGGGGTGGATRTGGGTCTTCCATCCGCCTCCTGGAGCAGGGTGACCGGCTGGAAGAGGGATATCGGAGAGCGATGTGAAGCATGGCGGGGGTTTCAGCAAGGCTTAGGGCTTCTTTTGTCTCCCGTCTGTAGAGCCAGTGGCAGCCCCAGCTTCAGCAGCTGCGAGACATGGGCATTCACGATGACGAGCTCAGCCTGCGGGCCCTGCAGGCCACCGGTGGGGACATCCAGGCCGCCCTGGAGCTCATCTTCGCCGGGGGCGCTCCGTAGCGTYGGGCACCCCGGGGCGGCTGCTCCTGCCCTTGCAAGTGGCCACGGGCTCCTCTTTGGGAACCCTGGCCAAGGGCATCCGGGCGCTCCCTCCGTCTTCCCCATCTCCCTGCGTCGAGGCGACCTTGGCGCTTTGCAGCGTGCGGAGCAAGATCGGTGGCGTTTTTTTTGCTCCGAGAGCTGTGGCGTCTGCATTTCTGCAATCTTAGCTGCTTCAGCACATTCCCCTGCTCGCTGCTTTGCTCCTGCCCACCTGACACGCCTCAGGCTGTTCTGTTTTACTGTCGTGGTTCCTCTGTCTGACTGCATTAAACGGCCTGTCTTCCTTCGCCTGGTTGTGATCCGTCCCGCTCAGCAGATCCCAGCGGCCAGGGGTTCCTGCCTCAGCAAGGCCAGGAACCGCTTTGCCTCTTGCAGGACTGTGGYTCCTTCGGCAGAGGGCACTAGCAAAGCGCTGCGGTGTTGGGTACGGGGCGAAGATGGGGTGTTGGGAGCGGAGTGTCCTGCACGGGCTCCAGTTACCCCCTGTCTGAAGGAGCTGGTGGTTCTGTGGAGAGCTGCTCTCAAGGGGGGAGCCTCGAAGAGGCATCGTGTGGTCTCCTTCCCTGCCCTCGGCTCTGTGGGAACGCAGGGAGAGCCCTGCAAGCTGACAGGAGCCAGGGGCCGCGCTCTGGTCACCACAGGGTGACAGTAGAAGCACGACAAACACAGGAGGCTGGAGGCTGTCGGCGAAGAGCGCGAGGAGGGCCTTGGGAGGAGTGTGGTGTGTCCTGCCCAGGGTGGGCTGTAGCGGGGCTCCCAATGTGTCTTCCACGCGTGGGAGCCATGGTGATGGCTCCTGGACTCCAAATTGGAATTCCGTTCGTATGGGATGCAGGCATGGGTGCGTGACGAGCTGGATACGCAGCGGCGCCGGCTCCATCCGTCAAGACAGCGGCACAAAGCCGGCAGGCGGTTTGGCCGGTGGGGCCCGTGCAGCGCCAGGGAAGCCGCAAGCAGGACGTGGTTTCCCGCGTTCCAGCTGCCTCTTCTCCCCGCTCCCTTCGGAGCACGCGAGTCCTTTGTTGATGAGATCTCGGCTGCCGCGTAGCAAGTGCCGTATCCCGGGCAGCCTCGTGCCTGTTAGSTGCTAATCCTGTCGAGAGGATTAGGAGCCTCTGGGGGCTGTTGCACAGTGTCACCCCCTCTCCCCTCTTGCGGACGTAGTCCAGGAGATGCAGAGAGGGAGAAGGGCGGAATTCCTGGCTCCAGAGGCCCCTTGTGCTCCCTGCCCTCGGCACCTGCCGGGTGCAGCCCACGCAGCGATCCGTGCAGCACGGAAGCCCGTGTGTTCGTTTCCGTCCCCTGCGCCCTGCCCTCTTGCATCGTGGAGGAGCAGACAGAGTGTGTTTCCGTGYATCAGCCCTGCGCATACTTCTGTATTAAGCTTTTTTTTTTTTCCTTCCATATATTGGCTGTTTCCACTTCTCCCTTTGGCAGTAGATCCCTGAGGAGTGACGGGATGTTGTGCATGGAAAGAATTCCTGCTGTAGCACACGTGGCTTGGCTTGGAGGGCCCCGCCAGACACCGGCCGTAGCAGGGAGGAGCTGGGCACCGGCTTCGCTCGTAACGCGATTGCACGCGCTCCACTTCCCCGTGTCGCCTCCCTGCCTGCCTGGAGCAGACACGCGCGGCACGCGGGAGCACCGAGAGCGCTGGAGGGGAGGAAAAGGCCCTGCGAGCTGCTGACAGAGGAGGAAGGGGCTGTGTGACAAGGGCTGGGCGCAGGAACTCCTGCTTTTTGGAGCAAATTTTGATGAGTTGCCTCGCACCTGCGTGGCCTTTATGCCCTCTCCCTCRTTCCACCCCTGTCTGGCCTCTTCCCTCTCTTCCCAGGCCAGGTTTGCTGGCTGCTTCCTCGCCCGGATGAGAGGTGCGTCCGTGCCCATCGGCTCTTGGCTCGTCTGTATCCTGCCCGTGCATCCGACCTTCCCCTTTTCCTCTTTTCCCCTGCGCCGTTTCCCAGTGTCTGCATCCCATGCGCCTCCCCCTGGTGCTCTTGGAGCAGCCTGGAGGAAAGGGTTTGCCCGGAGGCCTTCCAGGAGGCGGGGGGCCMAGCCGCGGTTCCCCCGGGGGTGTGCGCCGCTCTCGCTGGGGACTTTCCATTCCTTGCACCGAAAGCGACTTCTCGGTTCGGTTCCCTCGCCGCCGCTCGCGGTGCGCGCAGGGGAAGCGGGCACGGTGGTGGCAGCAGCTGGGCTCTCCTGCAGCGCTTCCGTGGCGCTCGCGACGGTCCTCGTCCCGGCGCGGGGCCATCCGCGCCGGAGCTTGGAACGTCTCCGMTTGGCCCTGGCGGTTTCGGTTTGCGTACGACTGTTTCAGGCTCTTCAGCCCCGGTTTCTTGTGTTAAATGACTGGTGCGAGATTTCCCTCCCTCCTCCCACGTAGCCCTCTCATTTCTGAATTAGAGGGGTTTTTTGCCCCCGCTTCCCCAAGCAGCCACAGGTTGTTGAATGACTCCTGCTTGCAGGGCAGGGGCTGCTGCAGCCTCCAAGGAGCCAAATCCGTGTTGGGGGGCAGGAATCCCTAGAGGAGAATCCAGAAGTCGAGGCAAGTGACAAAGCGCAGCTCTCCCCGCATCACATTCCCCCTAAAACCGTGGGGCTCGGTCGCTTCCTAGAACAGTTTAAAGAACAGGGGGAAAAGGGATTTTGGTGGCTTTTGTGGGCAAAGCCTCCTTGAGGCAACGAGGCTCCATGTGATACCGACTGGGGAAGTATTTAATAAAACCAGGCCGATTTCTGGGCAGCTGACCGCTTTAACATAGCGATAGCAGAAATGTACTGAGAATGTCATGCTGTCAAAGTATGTTCACTTCCCAATTACAATATTTTTCTTCTATATTTAGAAAGTTATGTATAAATTAACGCTGCGTATGAATTTCCCTCTGACTTTTAATGGTGTATGTAGCCCTAGCCCTGCTTATTTTATAGGGATGCTTGGTGAGTTTAATGAGAATATGGTAAAAACAAACAAACAACAACAAAAAAAAAAAACACCCAAAAAGTACAGTGAGAGGAAGGTTAAGGTCCTCATGATGTAACTCCCAAAGCTGAAAAGTGACTGAGCTCTTCTCTTTGAAGCTTATTGGGTCTGGAAACTTAAACAAAAAACACCCTTCGCTTTGGGGATGAGAAGTGCGACTTTGGGGAAAGTTTTCGAGCCTGCCCAGCCCACGTGTGAATCTTGCGGGCTGCTGTCCCCTCGGCTGAGGCTTTTTGGTRGCTGCTGAAATGAGCAGCTTGGTGAGTGGAGAGCGTGACGCGTTCCTGCCGGCGCGGAGCGTGTTGGTGACTCAGGGGAGCCCGGCGTTTCCAAGCCATTAATAAAGGCAAAAAAATGGGTTGCAAGGTGTGAGAGCAAAAACTCCTCTGCCCCATAAACACATATTGCAAAGAGAATATAAGAGCAGGCTGAGGGGATGTGCAGCGCTGATGAACTTTCCGGCATCTGGGGGCCTGAGATTCAGCGACCTTTGGAGCCAGAACTGGGGTCTTCGTAACGAACGGACCCCACTGGTACTTTTATTTTACCACAGGGAGACTTGTAGCCTCTGTGCCTCCCTACAGCACGGTGACACAGAGGAATCCCCAAGGAGTCCCCCAGTTTAGCAGCAGTGGCGAGAGGAGCCGCGTTGCTGGGAGAGCTGGGTGGCGGGGAAGAAAATTGTCACTTAACCTCCTTAGAAAAGGAGCCTGTCGCCGGTGACAGCCGAGCGCCGTAATCCCCTCGTAACGCTCAGCACGCGGCCCGGCCTCCCGCGGGGCGCCCGCCGCACTGTTTGCCTCCTTATAATTGGATTGTTTGCACAGGGCGTCATTCCGGGGAAGAGGAGGGGAGCAGTTGTGGCTCCGGAGGGCTTGGTCCAAGGTGTAGCTGCCTCTGAGTAAGTGCTGCAATCCCCAAGGCTGCTCCGTTACGCAGAATTTAATCATCCCGTGGATCCTGCCAGCTGAGGCTGGCCCAGGCAGTTTTCGTGCCGGATGATTCTTCCTCCACTCCAGCTCTTGCTYCTCTTTTTCCTTCCCTCCCGACAGCCTGTGATCTGGTGGCTTACGGCTTCCTCCAGTTGCTTTCCATGGCGAGCTACGTGGGAGCTCCCGGGACGCAGAATAAGCGGGATTCACGGCCCTCATCTGCTTCCTGCGCGAGGAAGGGCAGATGGGAGGCGAGAAGAAAGGGCAGCTCTTCCCTGCGCGGGCCAGCGTCCCCTCTGAGCGCTTTGACAGGTCGCGGCGGGGAAAAACAAGCGCAGGGCCTTGAGCACATGGCGGCACGCGGAGCTGCTCCCACTCACCTGCTGGAGGGGCCTCCCGGCGGCTCTTGGAGAGGGCTCTGCGAGCGGAGGAGCCCCCGGCACCAGCTGGAGCCAAGGACGGCGCAGAGCTGCAGACACCTCCTGCGTCATTTGGCTGAGCGTCGCTCGCCACGGGCCAAGATAGGAAGGCATTTCAAGAGATATGACACTTAGACGTCTCTCCCTTCCTGGCGGGACAGCTATCGGTGTTGCAAGTGTTCTAGCGTGACAAGGTCAACCTAATATCTTTAAATGAATTTACTTTTCTAAGCAGCCTCCACTTAACGCTGCATGCCTGGCCAGCTCACGAGGGTGTCTCCTGGCCCTTTTCCCAACAGCAGTTTGAAGTGGCTCCCTGGGAAGCAGGGGATTTGTGATGAGTCCCCGGAGGAGAATGTGGAGTTGGATTCCACCCCATATTTATGTCAGGAAACATAGGAGTGACCTGTGGAACTGGACCTTAACTTGCGCGTTACCAGGAGCACTGCATGGAGCTGAGGCCAATTTGAGACCACTCCATCACAGACTTGGGCTTTTGGCAAGTCRAAAGGGTGGATTATTTGAGCAAAGATGGTTCTTTCTGCCCTCCCTGAGCGGCATTTAGCACACAGGGTGCTCGGGTCTCGCCCTAAACTCTGATGGTTTTTCTGGGGGCAATTCACTGCACTTTGGCATCAAGGCAGGATGGAGAGGGAGGTCTATGACCTGATCAGCCCTGCACATTTAGTCTGGCTTAAACAGCCTCTGGAGATGAACTTCCACGAAAACAGCGTGTCTGGAGAGGCTGTAGTGCTGGAGCCGGTGCAGGGCTGCAGCATCAGGAAGGGGGTGGCTGAGATGGGCCTGGCTTGCTGCGGGAATGTGAGTGGGAGCGAGGAGCGCATCCCGATGCGGTAGCTGCTGATAACCAATCTGCTTGGCTTCCTCCCCTCCGTCAGCGCCTCGCTCCGGTGCTCAAGAGCCGAAGGACCTGGCAGCTGGTGCCAAGAGAAGCAGCGAGTGGAATTTCACTTTCTTCCTGTCAAAGGCCATGCTAGTAAGTCTAAAAGGCAAAATGCAGAGGAAAAATGGCACGAGTCCTGTGCTGAGGCAGGGGAAATGCCGTAGGAAAAGATCTGCCCCTTGAGGCCTCTATATCTGTCCTTTATGCCGTGACCAAAAAGGCCACTTTTTGGTACTTTTCTGGCACGGTCACAGCTGGTRGCAGCCTGAGCTCAAGCTGTGCCCGGCAGGTTTCTGGAAGAGCTGGCACAACAGGGAAAGGTCTTGCCCGGCTTTCCCAGGGATAAGAATGTTTGGGTTTTGGCAGTGCCCGTGCTTTCTGTTGATGAGTTTAGGCTGGGTTGCTGAGCGGGGCTGGATGTCGTCTCCTCCTTGGGCTCTCTCCATCAGTCACACTCACCGCTGCTCTGAGGGGCTCGGGATGCCAAGGCYGCTCGTAGGGGGAGCGGAAGGTTTTGGGGGCGAGTGCTCCGTTTTAATGAAGACCCTTCGCTCAAGAGTTGTGATTTGCTTGCTGGCGGTGGGATGCTCCGCACTCTCCGTGCTTTTCCCATCTGCTGTGCTGGTCACTGGTGTGCAGAGAGCTCAGAGCAGCCTTGTGTCATTAGCATGAGCTCCTGCAGCCGAGGACCTGGGGCAAGAGCGGCCATCAGCTGTGACCCCAGGCTCTGGTTTCCCCGAGACCTTCATCTTTCTCCCGTGGGTTCACCGGCCCTTCTCTGTGCCCAGGTCCGAATGCAGCATCTGGGACCTGTGAGGGGAGAGCAGCTGGAGAACGTGACTCATCAGGTCCCGAGAGACAAAGCAGGTAACAGTTTATGCRGCGGCCGTCTGCATAGCCCGAATTCTGGTGGATGCAAATGGTTGGGTCACTGCCTTCATTAAGGAGCCAGCGTGGGTTGTTTGGCTTAGGCTGCTGATTTGCAAACGGTGCCATCCTTCTCCTGCTTCGCTCCTGACTCTGTGAAAAAAAAACCACAATGAGTTACACAGGTATTTCCAGCTAGAAATTTTCCAGCAAGTTCCAGCGTTTCCGGAGCTGCAGGAGAGCGAGCAGGCGCGGGTCTTGGCACCTCTGGGATCAGTGGGGCAAGTGGGGCAGGCGGTGGGGCAAATTCAGGAGCTTCTGCAGCTTGCTGGGCAGTTGCTTGAAGGTGAGCAGCAGCGCAGAACAGTTCAGAGCTAATCTGGGAATCACCGTGTCCGAAAGCAGAAAACCGGAGCTGATCTGTGTGTTGTCACACTGTAATTACCCAAATGGCTATTTGGTTAACGAAAGAGATGAAGCCCTGCACTTGGAGCTAGCAGAGAATTCCCCTGGGTCCTTCAGCCTGACAATTAGGCGGCTCATTAATTTGCTGCTTCCTCCAGAATGTCCCCTTGAACTGCCACCGTTCATCTCCTTCAGGAGCGCAGCGGTCCCGGCTCCGGTGGCTTAAAAGAGGGAGCAGCTGCGCCTGCCGCCCTCGCGAGCGCCCCGTGGGGCTCTCCCATTCCGCTCACGTCCAGCCTCGCTTTCCCCGCACGTAGCGCCCGGCTCTGCTCGCGGTGCCGCTCGTGGCGCCTGCGGAGCGGCCGGCTCCGTCCCGCTCGGCCTCGTGTGCCCGGCGACAGCCAGCGCCAGGGCTCCTTGCTCCCCGCTGAAGGGATTTTGTGCGTTCGCGCCCTCGGATGCTGCCCCTGTGCTCACGAGGGATGTCGGTGCAGCGGGACAGGGGGTCTGGGGACCCGCTGTGAGCGGCGGCTSCCACGTCCTCGTTGCCCCGTGAGGACGAGCGCAGCTCGGGGAGGATGGTGTGCGGTGGCAGGAGCGCCCCAGGGCTCTTGTCCTCCTGTCGCTGCCGCAGAGAAGGGCGTGAGCAGCGTCCTTCACTCAACCAGCTGCTCTTTCTGGCGCTTATTCCTGTATCTTATAGAAATACGTATATCTCTATACACCCGCATACACGACACGCGTTTTCACTTTCACATAATTAATATCAACCCCTAACATTTCTATTATGAGCCTCTTGGCTAGTGAAAGCAAACGAAGGCGCCAGGCTGCCAGCTCTCACTTGCAGGAAAGGAGCAAAAGAAAGGAAGAAAGGGGACAGAAATACCCTGCAAAGCCGCGGCTTTTCGGAACAAGGCTGAGTTGCCCGAGTCCTGCGGAACTGGTCCCTCCCTTATTGCCATCTTTGGCTGCGCTGGATCCGCCCCGCGCAGGAGAAGAGAAATGCAGCTGTCAGGCTCGCGAGCTCGCCGCTCTCTGCGCTCGCCGAGCCCCTAGAAATGGGCACGAGGTCCCCGCTCGCCCTCCTGGTGGCCCTGTGGGCCAGCCAGCTGGGCGCGGGGGCGGCCGGGCGCTCCAAGGTGAACCCCCGCATCATCGCCGCGCCGCCAGGTAGGTCGTGTTTCCCGACTGCCGCTTGCCGCTTCTCCCCTCCCTGCCCACGGACTCGGCCCCGCTTGTTCCCCTTTTGTGCCTTTGGGCACTGCTCTGGCCCCGGCTTAAACCCCCGGGGCTCTCGGGAAGCCTTTTCAACCTCCTCGGTCCTGCTTTTTCTTCTCCGGTTGCATTTATAGCTCTTTTACCTTGGCGAGCCCTTTCCCCGGGTGTACCCTGGCAAGCCCTTCCCGCAGGTCGGGGCTATCAAAGCCAAGCCGCGTCCTGGCCTGGCGACCGTTTCCTCTCAGCCGGGGGGACGAGCTGCAGATGAGTGTTTGCATGAAACGGTACATTTCCTTATTGCTCTGCTGCGCTTCCCCTGCCGGCTGCAAACGAGCCGCGTTATCAAGAGCTTGCAGTGACCTCCCGGAGGGAGGCTGCAAGGGCTCGGGCTCGCCGAGGAAAAGAAACAAAAGAGCCGGCTTTTGCCGGCGTCCGCGGTAGGCGCGCGGGGCGCAGGAGCATCCTGCTGCTAGCGGGGGCTCGGGGATTAACGCCCCGCGGGAGGATTTAGCAGCAGAGCCCGTGGCGGCTCCCGGGGATCCCGGTGTCCGTCTGCGGGCAGAGCTGGGAGCTCCTGAGGCCGGGAATTTGCCGGGGTTTATTGGGCGCCATCTGCTCTCCTTGTCCCGGCCGCCCCGTGGAGGTTGCCCCCGGGCGACGGGCTCAAGGTGCCTTTTCCTGACRCTGTCGTCACCGGCTTCCCCGCCGCCGCGGGGGCTCTTGGGGTCACTGCCCCCGTCCCCGCGGCCTGCGTAGGTGGCAGCTTCCCTCCCCGCTGTGGCTTTCGGCAGCAGCCTGGGGAACGCGCGTCCCGCGGGAACGCCGCGTCCTTGGAGCAGCGCGGGCGCCGGAGCAGCCTCTGCGCGCCCAGCAGGAGCGCTGGCATCCCATCCATGCGGATGCTGCATCYGCACCTTGGCGCGCGTGGAATCCCGCTGCTTCCTTCTTTCCCGGGAGCAGCCCGGCTCCGAGCTACACGGGGGAGATGCCGCCCGGTCCCGCAGGGAAAGGAAAGCGGAGCCGCTCCAGCCCTGGCTGCCTTGTCCAGATACGTTGGCTTTGGGAAGTGAGGCGGGAAACGGCGATTCCCAGGAGGTGCCCGCAGCAGCTCCGGGGCTTTGCCGAGCTGCTCGGCCCCGGCAGGGCTCCGGAGCAGCTCCCGGCGCTCGGCTGGAGAGCCGGAGCAGAGGCCCTGTCCCTCCTGACTCCTCGGACAGGGATTCACACGGAGCTCCGGCATTTGCCGGAGCCAGCGGCTGCCTTTCCCAGCACTGCTTCCCGCAGACGGCTCCTTTTCCCAGGCTGGGAGCTGTGGGCGCTGTAAAATGTTGCCTCAAACTATTTTTTTTTCCTGGGCACAGATYGAAAAAGCAAAACAAACCAAATGAACCCGGCGAATGAATCACACCCCCCTCCTGCCGCAGGAGTAGGAGCAGGAGCTGCGGCTGCTGCGCCGGGTTTCTGCTGGATTTCTGCTCTTTTCCTGGAGCTCAGGAAGGGAGCTTGGGAAGCTGTGAGGGAGGAGGCGTTGTCCGGCTGTGAGGCGGGATGAAGGCGCAGGGGATGCTTTTTAGAGAAGTTGGTGTGCAGGAAAAGGGCTCGGGAARCAGGAAATGGCTTGTTGTGGCGGCAGCGCTGTCCCGTGTGCGGCTATTCCTGGGGCAGCCAGGAATAGGGCCCGTTCCGCCTGTTCCTGCGCCGCCCGCCCTCCTGGCCCTGCTACAGCGGCCCCTCGTGCACGTGGGCGCTGGGCCGGCCGCGCGTGCCCAAGGACGCCCCGTTTGGGCACCCGCATCTCCCGGAGCCGCCCCGTTAACCCCCGCGGAGCCCGGGCGGCCTCGGGGAGCAGCCGCGGTGCCGGTGCCGAGAGGCGCTCGGGGCCGTTCGTCCCCCTCGCGGGGATAAAGCGGCGCTGGAAGCGGCTCCTCCTGCGGGCGCGGAGCGCGGTGCCGCTGGGAGCTCCTTTTGTTGCCGCTCTCCTTGCAGCGGCCGCGTAAAGAAAGGCCGGGCGCAGCCCCCGGCTTCCCGCGGGAGTGATCCTAGGGAAAAAGGGCCCGCAGCGGCACCTGCCTCTGTATTTAGCCTGGCAAGGGCGCAGTCGACCGCTGGGCCTGGGAATGCTGCTGGGGCTGCAGTGCCCTGGGCGCTGCAATACCCATCCCCGCTCACCTTTGTTTGCACAAGGGAGCCGAGTCCCGGCTTCCCGAACCCTTCCTGGCTGCAGCAGCTCCCGAGTGCAGCGCGTTGGGCTGCTCGTGCCCTGCTCTGTGCACTGGACAGGAGGGCGGGCGCGCGGAGGGGCTTTGGGCAGCCCGGCCCCTGCGTTATCCCACTGTCCTGCCCTGCTTCGGGGCCCGGAGGGGCAGGAGCACCAGGAAAGGAGTGGGAAGCAGCTGGGGAGGAGCGCGAGAAGAGCCGGCGCGAGGTCTCTTGGCAGCCGATCGAGTTCTCCCTCCCTGCGACGTGTCTGCGGGGGGAGACGGGACGAGAAGTGCGGAGCAGCTGCGCGCTGTCACCGCGGAGCCGGAGGGGCGGCGAGCGCGCGGCCRGGGGCGAAACGGGAAGCGCGCGTGGCTCCGCTGCACCGCGAAGCGCCTCGTGCATGGGGCGAAACGGGAACCGCGCGTCCTGCCGCGTCCTGCTCGCGCCCCTCCTCATGCCAGCGTGCAAATCCCTAGGGAAGGAGCGGTGCCGGCGGCGTGGCTGCCCCATGGGGTCCCTATCTGGTGCTCCCGGAGCTAGGGCTGCTTGCGGGGTCACATGGGGATCCCAGAACAGCTAGGGAGCAGTGAGAGGCTGGTGAGCGATGGGAAGAGGTTTCGGCGGCCTCTCCTGCTCCCGGTTTCGGCAGCCTCTCCTCGTGCCGCGGTGTCACTTTTGGTGAGTGGTGCTGGCTGGCGCCCAGGGAGCTCGCGTGGCAGGTCGGAGCAGAGCCACCCTGCAGCTCCCTTCTGCTTTCAGCTTTCCCTGAAAACCCTCCTTGGGGCCAAAGCCCCCAGGCACAGYCAGCTCATGCCGGCAGCAAATCGCTCGGGAATGGGGTGGTTTGTCAGGAGGCACCTCCTTGGGCCCTTCCCACGGCTCTGCCTTCCTCTTGTCCCCCTGGCTGCTCCCCTRGGCGGTTTCATGGAGAGGAAGGAGAAGCCGATCTGGGTGTTCGCGGCAGCCACCCACGGCCCCGCTCGCTCCGGCAGCAGCGTCTCCGCCTGGGAATTTATAGATCATCTAAAACTGCAGCCTGGCCTCCCGCCAGCCTCGCCGTGCAGCCGGGAGGGAAGATGGCAGCTCCCGGGGCCGGTGGCWGCCCGGTGCCCCCTGCCCGCGCGGCTCCGTCCCTCGCAGCGCTGCGGAGAGGCCCCGCGTTGCCCTTGGCCGCGCTCCAAGGGAGCCGCCGGGCCAGGGGAAATCCCTGGATCGGCCTCCGGTCTTGATGGAGCCGTGAAACGAGTGACGCCGCAAGGTGACATCAGGCCCAGGAGCAGCGCCGCCCGCGAACCCTGGCACGGGTGACTAAGGCAGCAGGTTCCATCCGGAAATGGGAATGCAGGGGCAGCGGGAAACGGATGTCACCGAGACGAGACAGGTGACTAGCCGGGTGACGAGAGGGGTGACGAAAGGCGGGCGCCTCGGCGCGCTTGGTCACGCTCCCTGCCCCGCGCCCGCAGCCTCCTTCCCATGGCTCTTCCGCACGCTTGCCAAGCCGCTCCCGGTCGGATTGCGGCAGAGTCGTGCCGCAATCTGCGGGTAATCCCGAAGGAAGGAAAGGATAAAGGCTGGATGTCCGGGGAAGGACGAGCTGCCTTTGGGGGAGCCGGGAAGCACGTGAGCTGTGCGCGCTTGCAGTGCTGTGACTCAGGCAGGAACCCGCTCCGGAGGCGGCCGAGCAGGTGCCGGGGCCATCGGTGTCGTGGATGCGTCACTGGGATGGTGGCGGCGCCGTGCAGCGAGCTGGGCTCGGAGCCTCCCAGATCCCCATGGATTAGGGTGGCTCATCCCGCCCGGAGAGCGGYGAAGGGCAGAGGGGACAGGGAGTCGCCTGGCCGAGCCGGCCGGGCTCACGCTCGGGTGTTGCTGCTCACGGGATGACCAGCCTGGCGCCCACGCGGTCCCTTTGCAGTGCTGGCGACATCTGCTCCGGGGGCGGGAGGCCGGGAATGACCCTTTGCCCAGGCGCTTCCTCGCGGCCCCCAGCAGCACCCAGAGGGAGCCGGGGGCTCTTCCCGAGAGCAGGGCGCGCTGCCTCCTTCTCCCTCGTCAATATTAGTTTTCTCGCTCCCTTTGGCAGCCTTTCCCGCGTGCTGCCCGCCGCACAAAGCTCCTCTTTCTGCCATTCATGGCCGGGGCCGCGGGTTAGCGGCTCCAGTGACAATCGCGCCATTGATTCGGGTGCCCACGCCGGGGCCGGCCCCAAATGCCAGGCAAAGAAGAAACCCTCTGGAATTTCGGCAGCTGGGAGAGAAGCAGGAGTTACCGCTGGCCTGGCCGGGCAGCAGCGAAGCGCCCGGGTGCTGTGTCCCGGCGCGGCCTCCCTGGCTGTGTCGTCCCGCCGGGAAGGCAGGGCCGCATGGAGCGAGCCGGGGCGCCGAGGGGCTCGCGGCGTCACCGGCCCTGGCCGTGCCCTCCTGTGGCCGCCAGCGCCGAGGGGAGCRGGGCAGGAGGTGAAAGAGGAAGGAAGGAGGAGGTGAGGACACGCGGTCCTTCCTCCCCGCTGCGGTTGTGAGCCAGGGCCCGGTCTTGCAGCTCGCTCCTCGCCAGCACCTGGGGCGGGGAGGAGGGCGGCAAGGCTGCCCAGGCGCTTTCCATGGTGACTCTCTGTGTGTTCCCAGGTGCCAGGGAGTTCGTGTTTCCCGCGAGGGAGAAGTACCCCGTCTTCTACCATAAAGAAAACAGCTCAGGCATCTTCGTCGGGGGAGAGGGGAGGCTTTACTACCATGACTTTGCCACCTACGAGACGTACACGGTAAGGATGCTGGGCAAGCAAGTGTGGCCCCGTGTGAAACCTCCGGATTCTAGGTGTCTTGCTTGGTGTCTTTGCCAGCAGCAAAAGCTGGAAGTGTCCAGTCAACGTGCTCGATGGCTGCAGCAAAGGAGAGGTTCCCTRCACTAACTGTGGGGCCTTCATGGAGCATCTGGAAGCTCTTACAGTCTTTGGAAGGGGGAGTCTTTCTTTAGCATGGCAAGGGATGCTCAGTCGTGTGTTTGGGAAGAAGTTTTTTGTCTCATCCCTTTCCACCGGCCCAGCTCTGGCTGCTTTTCCTGGAAAGCAACACATTCTGGGCCAGCTGGGCACTGACTTGGCCCAGCAAGAAAATCCCCCGGTTGGTTGGTTTTCCCATAACCACTTTGTGGTCCTCAAGCAAGTCAGTTCCTGAAGTTTGTGCTCCGAAACTTCTCGTCTTGTTCCCAGGAGCATAGCGGTTAATTTGTCCCAGGCCTCAGACAGCCACCACCTACAGTCGAACACCCACTCCCTGCGCTGACAGATCCTCTCCCGAATCCTTCTGGAGAGCAGCCCAGGCTGCCTGCCAGTCGTGCCTGCCGCTTTGGCCCCACGTCTTCCCACTCCCCCAGCAGCAGAGAGCTGCCAATCCAGCCTCCCCAAGAGTTTGCAAGAGCTGGGATGGGGAGGAGGGCTGGCTTCCAGGGTTTGATGGCCCTCTCGCAGGCGTGCCGGATTCACTGCTTGCTGAGAGAGTGAGAATGTGGGGGACTTTGCATGGGACTCCGTTCCTGCTAGTTGTTGGCTTTGAGGAGGAAGGGATAAGAGCGCCTCTGTCTCTCTTCTCTTGCAGGAAGACTTCCCTGTGATAAAAGAAGGGCAGTGCATGAACTCTGGAGGYCCGGTAGGTCCCCCAGAGCTCCCCRAGAAATGCTGGGAAGTCCTTTTGTGGCTGTGGACTCATGTGCTGCTCTGGGGAAGACACCACATCCTATCCGCGATGAAGCAGCGTGGGAGGGACAGCTGGAGGGGGACGGGTGCATGAGGGCTGAGGGACATGGGCTGAAGGACCGTTTGGGAARGAACTGTGCCCTCTCTTCGCATGCTGTCTGTGGGTGAAGTCCTCCAGGACTTGTGGAGCAGAAGGTCGGATGAGAAAAGGTCGATTTTTGGCATTTAAACACCCAGGGAAAGCTAGGAAGCCACCCAGCTTGTGAGGCAAAACCACGCTCTGCTTAGAGCAGCTGGGCCGTGTTCTGCCATTCCCAACCGTTCATGTTCTCTCTTTCTCTCTTGCAGGAAGACAATAAAAATTACCTCACGTTGCTGGGGGAGCACGGGGACAGCATGTTAGTGTGTGGAACCGGCGCCTGCTCTCCTACCTGCTGGCACTGGGTACGCTGGCAAAACCCTAGCGCGGGGCTGGCTCGTCCCGCTCTGTCCRGTGTCTTCTGCACCGGATGGCTGAGGGACGTGGGGAATGTAGTTTAGTGGGCCCGTAGCCAAAGTAGAGCTCGGGAGTCCTTAATGCCCACGTAACGCTGTCAAGCATGGAATGAGGGGGCAGGATGTACGTTTGTGCTGGCTGCTCTGCCCTGCCTGGCAGATCACACGTGTTAGGAGCAATTTCTGTCCTTCCCCAGAATGAGAAGAAGAAGAGCTCGCCGTGGGATGGGAGAGGTATCGCCCCGTTCAGCCCCGACTCCAATTCCCTCGTCGTCATTGATGGTTAGTCCAAACGCTTGCACGTCTTCTGCAGTAGCGCTGTGCGAGGACGCTGAGCTCTCTGCTACATAAAGGAGCACCTGGAAACCTCCAGGCTGCTCCAGAAACTGCATCCTTCTGCTTTAGCTGGGGATCAGTGCCGGTGCTTCTTGCTTTGCCCCTTTTAGYGAATTCACTTCTAGGACAGAGCAGGGCACAAGGTTCTTTGTTCCCATCCTGGGCATGGGGGCTGCRTCTGTGTGCAGGAAACTAGAGTGCGGTGGCAATGGAGAGGGAGGACGAGGTCCCGCAGTAAGTCCACCGCAGGAGGGGCTGGGGACCTGGTAGAGGAAGAGATGGGGCTCCCTTCCAAAGGCAGAGCAAGGACTTATCCCTGTCTGTGAGGCCTCCCACGCCTGCTCAGTCTTGGGCAGGGCGTTCTGGGCTTGGTGGTCTGTATTCACCAACTGCAGGAGTTTTCTTGGCCGACCACGTATCCAGGCTGCTCTTGGTTCTTCTCTTGCTTTTCACAACCCCCTCTCTCCTGCCCCTTCTGGAAAGAGCCTGTTGCAAAGGAGCTTTCCTGTCCCGCAGGTAATGACATCTATTCAACCATCAAGAAGAGCCAACAGAATGGCAAGATACCCCGTTTCCGGCGAGTGAAAGGAGGAGGAGAGCTCTACACCAGCGACACGGTGATGCAGAGTGAGTATGAGGCTGATCCTGAGGGAGTGGGAGCTGCTATTTTGCCCCTCTAGGCACATAAATTGGCCTCCTTGTGAGTCTATAGCTGCAGGCCGTGCTATGTACCCTGGAGAGGTGCATGCCCTGTGCTGGGGTTGGCTCCAGGGCCTCCTCCCTGGGTTTGCTCCTCCTAGGACGGAGCTGCACAGAGGGCTGATTCAGTCCCCGTCTGCAGTGCTGACAAGGAGGGACCTTGTGGCCCCTTTTAGCTTCAGTTGYTTGGGGAATTTGAGCTCTGCTTCTAGGCCAAAACAGCTGACAAGTCAGTTCCTCTTGCTTGGGGATTGGGGAACGGAGAGAAGTAGACAGCAAGTCCCGTGTCAGCTGCTGCAAGGAAATATAGTTGTGCAAAGGTGCCAGCAGCGCCTGCTACGCAGTGGTGGAAACAGAAAGAACTTCCACTGCGGGCAGACTGCTCTGGGAAAAATGACTTTCCAAATCCCCAGCCAGGGGGAGACTGGGAGGCAGGAAGAGGTTGGGTGGGCTGTGCATGGGACAGAGGGAAGAGAGGGAAAGGACCCCCCTGTTTCCATCGAGGCCATTGCCTCATTACTTCACCTTCTGCCAAGCCCAAAGACGAAAATCAAAACGACACCATGGCAAGAGAGGACTTACACTTGTGAGGACACCGGAGCAGGGGGACCAAGGCAGCGGCAAACAAAGCCGATGGGCGCAGGGGCCGAGCGGCCAAACACGCAATTAGGCAGGGYGCCCTGCTGTGGAAACACCGGCTAACGATGCCCGGAGGGACCCGGGCGTTCCCCTGCCRCCGGGGATGCCCTTTGTGGCCCTGGTGTGTTAACAGGAAAAGCATCGCTGGGTTTTCCACGCCAAGCACAAACAGCACAGCTTGCTGTGCCATAGAGGGAACCTTATATGCAGTTATAGATCGTGTACACGAGACAGCAGAGTGAGTTTCCTTCTCTGCTAAGCAACAAAGGCTTCACAGGGCTCAGAGGCCTTGGCCTTCAAGGACACAAGGGGAGGAGGAGGAAGAGGAAGGAGAACCCCACCACGGAGGTGACACATACAAAGCAAGCTCTTGTTGGCTGCACCTGGGGATCTGTGACTGGTCCGGCCTACGRGTTGGGCTTGGACGTGTCCTTTGCCTGGAGCACAGATGGTCTTTGCTCCTCTTGTCTGAGAGCGACCGCTTCATTGCGGAGCTCGCCGGTTTGTTCCCAAGCCAATGGCTGCTTTCAGGTGAGCTTCCTTCTTGAAACGTGCGTGTTCAGGCCAGGGCTTTCTGATGGCTCTTGTCCCATTTCAGACCCCCAGTTTGTCAAAGCCACCACTTTAAGGCACGAAGAGCCTTACGAGGACAAGATCTACTACTTCTTTCGAGAAGACAATCCAGACAAGAGTCCTGAGGCACCCAGGAACATCTCCCGCGTGGCTCAGCTGTGTAAGGTGAGGGCCCTGTCCTGGCCCATTGGGACGCTAGTGAGGTGCACATCTGTTGTAATGACGGCAGTCAAATGCGTTCCTGCGCTCGCCATCCAAAATGCTGGGCAAGGGGAGCGCTTTGTGTTCCTCCCTGCCAATCCCTCACCCCCTGCTTTCCCCCTCCCACAGGAAGATAAAGGAGGAACCAGCTCACTCTCTGCTTCCAARTGGACCACCTTCCTGAAGGCCAGCTTGATTTGTGTGGACCCAGTCACCAAGGGCAACTTCAACTGGCTGCAAGATGCCTTCTTTGTCCCCTCAAGTAACTGGAGGGATTCCAAAGTCTACGGGCTCTTCACGAACACATGGTGAGCCTTGTTGCAAAATGGAGGAGGCCCCGTCCCATGGACCACGGCTTTCTGTGCAGCTCTTTGTTCTCTCTGGCAGGCTAATGGGTGGAAAACAGCCAAAACGGACACTGTCAACCAAGGCGTGACACACGGAGCCATGCCCCGTCCCCAGGGATGACGGCCAGCGTCTCACTGACCCTCTCTTTGTCCCGTTGTCCGCAGGGGAAGCTCAGCTGTTTGTGTCTATTCCTTTGGGGACATCGACAACGTATTTCGAACGTCCAAACTCAAGGGCTACAACGGCCCCAACCCGGAGGTCAAGCCTGGGCAGGTGAGCGGGCCGTGACAGATGCCCACGTTGGGTGGCGGGACTCCTGCTCCCCTGCCCCTCGTCCCCAGGGATCTGTCTGACTCTCCCGCTGGCCTTTGTTCCCCTCCTGGCACAGTGCGTTGCCTCGGGGCAGCACACGCCGAGCGAGACCTTCAAGATCGCCGACAGCCACCCCGAGGTGGAGGACCGCGTGGAGCCCCTCGCCCCCAGCAAGAGCCCCCTGTTCCACAACAAGCACCGCTACCAGAAGATCGGGGTGCACGCGGTCTCCGCGGCGGACGGGCGCCGCTACAACGTGCTCTATCTGGCAACAGGTACCGGGGGCTGCTCCTGAGACCACCCCAGAGGGCAGGGAACGCGGGGCAGGCAGTGGAGGGACACGGGAGGCCTCCGCGGTGCGGAGCAGAGCACGGAGCTGTGTTTGCCCCGGCCTGGCACCGGTTTATCAAGCAGGGASGAGCTGCCAAGTTCCAGTACCGCTCGGTACGGCCAGTCTAGGGTGCTGTTGGCAAAGGCAGGCTGGAAGTATTGGGCACGGATTGTGCCCTGTTGGGCTGCTTTAGCCTCTGGCAGGTCACAGGCGGTCAGACCTTAGGGCTGAGGGGTCATAGGGCCCTCCCGCTTACCCGCTCTGGCACCTCCTGGCCTTGCCCGCTCCGCGACAGCAGTGGCAGCTTCTTGCTGCACCTCCAGCTGATCCCAGCCCTTGGTGCTGGGCCAAGGGAGAGCAGGAAGGCAGAGCAGGGTGCCTGTCCTTGGTGTGGAGCGGGAGGGCAGGCTCAGATGGGCGGTCTGGGCTCCCAGGCTGTTCAGCTGCTTGCTGTGAAGCCTCCTAAGCCAGTGCTCCTCCCTCCTGCCCTGCTGGCACCCAGCGCTTCTCCCTTCAGCAGTTGCCATCCCTCTTCCGCACCGCGCTGGGATTTGCTCATTCCAACAGAGCTGGCACTTTTGGAGAGACTTCCGGACCTTTTTTTTTTTTTTTTTCCCCAATCTGTGATATAAAATTAGAGATGAGCCTCAGTAGGTGGCCTGGGTTGGATCAGGGCCCACCTGTGCTCGGATTTATCTTATCTTGCAGAAAGCTTTAGCTAAATATAGGTAATGTCTTTTCCATTCCCTTTGGGGAGCTGGCTGCAAGCTGCAGGGCTGGCAGGGCAGCTTCCCGCCTCCCTGCAGGGAGAGGAGAGACAAAATGAGCAGTGGGGATGAGAGAGGAGGGTCCCAATCCTAGTCTACCTGTCCTGGGCTTCCTCAGGTCACAACTTTGACCTCTTTGTGGTTGACGGTGGAGAGGGGAGCTGCTGTTTGGGGAAGGGAGGCTGTGCAAGTAGCTGGGGAAGATTGAACGGTGAAGATCCCCAAGTCCTGTTCCCTCAGATCAATCTTGTCACCCCTCCCGACCAAAGTGACGTGTCTGCCTAAATCACCAGTCTCTGGAGTCATTTAACTGGGCAGGGGAGACAGTTTACTCAGGAGAAAGAAAGGCAAAAATCCCAGTTTGTGCCTGAGGCGAGCAGGGAGATGAGGCTCATGATCAAAGCAGAGCTGAGTTAGAGGGCGGTTGTTTTTCCTCGACGAGGCCATTCCAGTGCAGCGGATCAAAGCAGGGCCAGCCCGGCCCTGGGACGTGATGGGGGAAGTGGACTCCGCGTGGCCCCGCGCCGGGAGGGTCACGGGGCTCTGCTGTGGGAAGCACTATTGTTCGGAAGGTTATTTCCTAGCAAGCGAAGCGAGCGCTTTCTGAGAAAGGGCCTCTTTTCTTGCCACTGGTTGAGTCGTTTTCCAGGTGGCTGCGCTGGGAGCGCGGCGGAGCGGGTGGCACGTGCCCGCCGCGCGTGCTGAAACCCCCGCGCTGCTCCTGCCTGCCTCTCCCAGCCCCGCGCAGCTCCTCAGGATGCTCTGCTCCTTTCTTCCAGACAAGGGATCCATCCACAAGATCGTGGAGCTGCCGGACGGGGTGCAGAACATCATGGAGCTCCAGGTCTTCCCAAAGAAGGACCCGATCCACTCCATGATCCTGGACCATCAGAGGGTAGGTCTCTGCAACGCAGCGGAAAGGAAAGCGGTGGGTGAGACCATTGCCTACTCCCCGCAGCGCTGGGATTCGCTCTCTCTCCATGGCATGGCCGACACGCTGTTGGGCTGTGCCCGTTCTCCACCCCAGCGGTGACAACATTGCTGGGATGGAGCAAACTCCTAAGGAGGGCGGTTGGGAAAGGATGGCCGCTGCCTGGCCCGTGATCTAGGGCGAGCGACGTGTGTCTGCACAGCCTGGCAGCTCCTCTGGCGAAATCCGCCCCAGTTTCACAGAGACCAAACCTCTGGGAACGTTTCTCCTGGCGTCCTCSTGAGGTGGCGCTGGGGCACGGTGCTACAAGGAGCCTCTCTGCTTCCCTCTGCAGGCGATGCTCTACGTGGGCTCCACGGATAAAGTCGTGGAGATCCCCATGGACACGTGCGGGGTGTATCGCAACAACTGCGAGAGCTGCTTGCTGGCCAGGGACCCCTACTGCGGCTGGTCCGGCGGGCGCTGCCGCTCCGTGTACCGGGGCCGGTACGTGGCACCGCGCTCTGCTTGCTCTCGCTCCGGTGCTTCTCAGCTGGCTGCTGCAGCCTGAGAAGGTCCCACCCCTCCACGTGTGCGCTGGCAGTGGCAGCATGGACATCTATGTGCTGTCCCTGGAACTGCAGCTCTGCAGGATCTGCAGGATCTGCAGGATCCCACCCCTGGGGAGGAGGGGGTGGGTTTCGTACTGGGCTGAGCACCCTGCTCCTCTTTGCTGGTAGAAACCTGCACAGAGCACAGGTTCTGGTTTGTTGTGCCTGCCTTTACGGGGGAAAATTAAGCCCTGCACCCTTGCAATTTGGCTATGATGCTATTTACACTGCTTGGTTGTGGTGAGCTGTGACATTCTTGCAATTGTCAGCCTCTTAAGCAAGGGACTGTATTTCCCTACCCGGGTAATAGCAGGTGTTTAAACACTGGGTTAACTTTTTGCCCCGTCGGATCCATGTCGTCCTTTACGGGTAAATCCTTTCCTAGCCTGAAAGTGTTGCCAATTCTTGTCCCCACCTTTTAGGGAGGTGCGTCAGAACCTAAACCTGGGCTCGTGGAAAGAAAAGTGCCAAGGGGGTAAAGCTAAGGAAGGTGAGTAAAAGGCTTGAGCTGCAGGCCCTGTGCCCACAGGGAGCTGGAGCAGGGGGGCTGTTTCTCAGGTGTTTGGATGGCTTGAGGGAAGCGTTGCGAGGCACTGCTGGGGAAGTGGGGATCACCAGGGCTATTGTGAGAGATGGAGACTCTGGGCAAGTCTCAGTTTGTAGCATAGAAAGTAGGAATATCATTGTTAATGGGGAAAAAAAAGAGCTTTAGTTGAGTATCAGTCAAGCCTTTGGTATGAAGTAGCGCAAAGCTGGATGCCAAGTTGCTGCCTCTGGCAGCCACAGACTTTGATGACTCTTGGCTGACATGGTCAGGCATGATCCTCACTGACCCACGCAGTCTGCAACGATGCCCTGCGAGCAGACACTGCACAGTATTTCACCTCCTCCCCTAAATCAAGCAATCTGGGCGTGAGGCAAAGAGAACCAGCCCCCTCACACGTCTTTATGTCCAGGGTGGTGTCAGCACASCCGGTCACTGCTGTTAGCCCTCTGGTTTGGCCTCCCTTGCCTTCTGTGGTGAGGCTGAGCCAGTGCTCTTGTGGCCTGTGGTCTCCTGAAGTGGGTGAGAGGGCTCCGACTCGCTTTGTCACTGATGTCCAGGCAGAAGAGTCCTACAGGCTCCAACAGCTGCGGGCCAGGCCCTGCTGGTGTTGCTAAACGCCCTTGGAAGACGTTGCCATCAGCCCGGCAGTGCTTCCRTGGTTCCTGGGGACCCTCATCTCATCCCGGCCTGTCCCTGTCTTCCCACAGACAACTACCAGAACATCACAGTGGTCCCTTTCTCCCGCTACTACCTCAACTGCCCCGTGGAGTCCCACTACGCCACCTACAACTGGTACCACGACGACTTCCTCATCAAGACGTGCAACAACAGCCACCCGCAGCAGGACTGCTTCCACTTCATCCAGAACGTGAGCCGCGCGCACTACGGCCGCTACGTGTGCGTCTCCGAGGAGGACGGCTTCCGGCAAGCCCTGGTGAAGGAGCGCCTCGTGGGCCAGCTCCGCTTCATGTCGCAGAAGGGCCGGGCCGCCGCGGCGCTGGCCTCCTGGGTGCACGTGCTCCTGGTGCTGGGCTTGGCGGAGCTCTTCCACTGAACGTGGCCGCGCGCTGTCCTCGCCTGCCGCTGCTCTTCCTCGCCTTGCTGGGCCCTCTCGGGGCGAGATCCCCGTTTCTCGTAGCCACGCGAAGGGGTCCTGCCTCCCTGTGCAGCTTCCATCTCTGCTCCTGGCGGAGAAGCCGACTCTGGGCACTGTGAGGAGGGCACAACTGCAAGGCCACGTGGAGCCGGGTTTGGGGACGGGGAGGGAAGGGGCRCCCAGGGCACGTCGCTGCGATGCTGGCGGGGAGGCTTTGGCCTCTCTGCCAGCACCTGCGGGCAGCTTCGTGCTGGGAATCGTCGGGAGCGCACGGCGAGCGCCGCTCCTGTTTGGGGGACTGCGCGGACGTGCATGCGCCGATCCGCAGGGCTTGGCGCCTCTTCTCTTTGGGAACGTGCATGTGATGAAGAGGAGGAGCCAGCCCTTGGCCTTACCCCTGCTGGTTCACCCGTGCTCCTCTCCAAGCAAGGACTGGCCCTTCCAGGGCTTTTGCTGCTAACGTCTGGTTGAGGGGACAAGCACCTGGAGCGCTCCCTGTGTCACCTGCGAGGCCCTTCCCGGCCTGCTCGCAGGGGTCGGAAGAACTGGACCTTGGGAGCACTTTGGAGTTTGTAAATATGGGAAGAACGAGCACTGGTTACGCAGGAGAGGGCAGGCGCGGAGCTCGCATTTTGCATGGAAAAGCCTTGGAGCTTGACTGGATTCGAAGGGTGGGAAAGGACAGAGCACTGGGGCGTTCCCAGGGCCGGAGGAGCCGGAGCGGGGCCCCGAGCAGCTCGGACGCACAAGTCCCCTGCAGGCAGCTAAGGGCGGGTGTCTGCGGCCCCGCTGCTCCCCGCGCGCTTGTGGCCCTCGCGGGGGGCCCAGGCGTCCTGAGGGGGCTGCAGACCGGGGTGCTGCAGGCGGGGCCGAGCCGCGCGGCTGCAGCCCTTCCCAGCACCCCGGAGCCCGTGGGATGCGGCGGGGCGAGCGCCGCGCTCGCCTCCCTCAGCCCAGCGCGACSAAACTGTGAAAAGCGGGATTCCGCGTTGTGGAATTGGGATCCCACAGCTTGTCCAGGCCTTTTCCAGCCCTCTTGGCCCCCCGAAAGGCCGAGCCCGGCCCGGGTCTTGCCGGGACCTCGTATCTCGTGCTTCCATTTGCTGCAAGGTCAGCGCAGCTCCGGAGGCTCGGGAGCACCGGAGCTGGYTGGCATACGTGTCCCGAGGCTCCGGATTCACTGGATGCTCGCGGCAGGATTTTGCAACCRCAGGCTGCGGCCGAGGGGCCAGGGCTTCCTACTGCACTACATTCCCACCCTGACTTTGGAGCCTAGAGTAGAGCCTGTTACATCTCTTCTCCGAGCACTTTAACTTTGTGAACTAACAGATACCTATTTATTAGCCTGTATCCTATAATTTTATAATATTATGGAAAGGGAGGGGGGAGAAAATGCCAAGCAGCTACCAAAAAAAAAAAAAAAAACCCTTTCAGAGCTGTGACCAAAGCACGAGCAGATGCGATTGTGGAAATAAAAGCGTGGAAAGAGCTCACGGYGCCTTGTGTTGGGGGACAGGGTCCCCGCTGGTCGCGTCCCACTGCGGAAACCCGTCCCTTGCGCCGTGTCCGGCTGGGACCCGTTCACAGAGTGGCCTTTGGGAGGCCCCCTCTGCATTTCCTGTTGATATTTCGGCTGTAGCCTTTTCCGGGCTTTGGTGTTCCCAGATGGAGAGCGGGATCCGTGTGCTCACAGTGCGTCACAAACACTTTGCAAACGTCCCGACCCTGCTCCAAAAAGCTCCATGGATCCAATGAGCGCCGGCCTTACGGCTCCATTCCCATCCCTTTTTCTGTGGGAACAATGAGCCTGTAGTCGGCAGGTGGGAAAAGGGGACGGAGCTCAGGATGGGCGGGGGGCAGGGAAAGGCCAYGGAGGCTTTTGAGAAAGGGCCAGGAAAAGCGGGAGGAAGCCGGGCGGGCGAACAATGCGCCGCGCACAATGCGGGGCCACGGAGCGCAGGTCGGCAGCACTCAATGTAGGTCGACACAATGCGGAGCCCGGCGGCAGGAACCGCCGGCCGCCTTTTCCCAGGCTTCCCGAGGGCTCCGCGCGGAGCTCGGCCCCGAATCCACCGGCACCGACGGTTCCGGCCGGCGAGGACGAGCRTGGCGCAGGCCCTGCGAAATGTCCCCGTGCCCCCGGCTTTTGCTTTCAGCTTCATTTCAGCTCGTCCCGCGCTCGCGTCCGGGCCGCTTCCYAGAAGCCACGAGGTGCTGGTGGGAGCTAAAAATAACGGGGCTGCGTCCGCGTCGCTCTTCCTCCCGGGGCTGGTTCCCCCTCAGCACGGTCGGCATGTGCGGGTGGCACCCGGATGCACCCGGTTCTCTGATCTGAGTCCCAAGGGCGCCGGGGTGTTTGCTGGGGGTCATGGAAAAGCCCATGSAGGTGGAAAGTGAAAGCAGGACACCCACAAAGCAGCCCAGGAAACCCCGAYGGCCTCGTGGAGAGCAAGGAAAGGCCGGGCCGGGGCGAGGGCGCCGCGGTGGGACCGGTTTCTGTGACACCGCCGTCTTCCCGCGCAGCTCCCCGGGGTGTTTCCTGCTGCAGAGCCCCCGCGGGCACCTTCCAGCCCCGTCTCGCCGCCCGCGCCAACTGCCACCGCCGCTTCCGCCTGAGGCCCCTCTGATCTTGCAAGGTCTTGACGGAGGAAGGGGCCCCAAAATAGACACCCGCTCGGGGCGGCGGAGGCGGCGCGTGGGAGCTGCGCAGAGGAGGTGGCAGCGGGACGTTTGACTTGTGAAGTGCTAAAACCCCCCGCGGAGCAGAGGAAACTCCTGTGGTCACGGAGCCCCAGAGGTGACGAAGTCGGTGGAGGTGGAAGGAGGAGCGGGCCGCGATGCTCGCCCAGGGGCTCTTTGCTGCAGCCCTGGAGCCGTGCACGGGCCAGCGCAGCAGCCCAGGCATGGCCTGGAGCAGCAGGACATGGACAACACCCTGTGCCAGGGCCACCATCCTGTGCCAGGGCCACCACCCTGTGCCAGGGCCACCACCCTGTGTCATGGCCACCATCCTGTGCCACCGCCACCACCCTGTGCCACTTCCACCCGTGCTGTACCATGGCCACCGGGCAACCTCGTGGCTCAGGTGTGGGGACACCGCGGGGCGAGGAAGGGGCAGGACACCAGGACATCCTCACGGGGAAGGGGCCACCATGCGGCCGCAGCCGCCATGTCGCCGCGGCGGCACCGGCGGGGCGGGAGCGCCCCCGCGCGGCCGACGCTTGGGCTGAAAAACCCGAGAAACGGGCAAAAGGGACCTGCGCCCCGGCAGCGCTGCAGGCCGGAGCCGCGCCAGGCGCTGGGGTCGCTGCCGAGCCGCAAAAGGCAGGAGAGGAAAACCCGGCCAGAGCCGGGGCTGCCCCCCCGCCGTGACCCGCGGGACACCCCAGGTTCCCCCGGAATCCCAGGAGCACCCCAGCAACCTCCAGGGCTCCGCAGTGGCCCCGATACCCCTAGGGACCTCCCGATATCCCCTGGGGATACTCCACAGCCACCCGAGGACATCCCAGAGCGCTCAGCAAAGCCCAGGGGACCCCCCTCAGTGACACCTCCAAGGCTCCGGGGACACCCAGAGCCCCCAGGGGCACCCCCGAAACCACAGGGCCTGTCACAGGTGGCCAATAACCCCCTAGTGCCCCCCAGGCCTCCCCCACACACAGCTCGCCCGCATTGTGTTTCCGTGCCCCACAGTCCCCCATGGACCTGTGCCAGACACAATCCCGCATGGAGCCCCCTCTGCCACACGGAGAGCAGCCGGTGACTTCCCAAGGGGGCCGCCATCCACCCCCCGCATGGCCAGCTGTGACTCGCGAGGAGGGGCGGGCACGGAGCCCGGCGCGCTCCCCGCGCGCTCCCCTCTCCTTGGCACGGCGCCGGCGGGATAAGAGCGAGGCCGCAGCAGGCGCCCGCACTCGGACGCTCCCGCCGCGCTCCGTCATGCTGGCCAGGGCTGCTCCCGCGGCGCGCGGCTGGCGCGGCTACGCGGTGCAAGTGGCCGCCGGTGCCGGCGGCTCGCACGCGCTGCCCGCCTCGGCGCCACGGCCCTTCAACCAGCTGCCGGGCAACTGGCGCACGGGCTGGCTCAACCTCTACCGCTTCTGGCGGGAGGGCGGCTTCCACAACATCCACAAYATCATGGCCCGCAACTTCCAGCAGTTCGGGCCCATCTACAGGTAGGTGCTGAGCAGGGGCAGGACGCGGTGGCTTGGGGACACTGGGGACCTTGCTGAGGACGCAGCCCCTCGCTGCCTCGGCTGGCACCCAGCACCAGGAGAGGTGCTGCAGGGGCTGCCGTGGTGCCAGGATGCCCAGGTGGGTTATTCAGTGAGGAGGAAGATGACAGGGGGCTGTGGAAGGCTCTTGGTCCCCGCTCCTGCCCCTCCAAGGGTCTTGGTTCCGTCTCCCTCATGCAGATGGGCTGGAAAGGGACACCTGGCCACGGTGGCACTTGCTGCTCTYCTGGTGGAGCCTTGGGAACCCGGCTGGGCCCCCTGCGGGGGTGCCCCAGGGGGTGCCACCGCCGTCTCCGTCTTGGTCGCAGGGAGAAGCTGGGCGCCTACGAGAGCGTGAACATCATCAGCCCGCGGGACGCGGCCACGCTCTTCAGGGCCGAGGGCCTGCTGCCCGAGCGCTTCCGCGTGCCGCCGTGGCTGGCCTACCGCGACTTCCGCAACAAGCCCTACGGGGTGCTCCTCAAGTGAGCGCCGGCGCGCGGCGACGTGCCCGGTGCTGCAGCCGGGGCGCGCGGGCGCCCGCTCACGGCCCCGCGCTCTGTCTCGCAGGACCGGGGAGGCCTGGCGCGCCGACCGCCTCACGCTGAACAAGGAGGCGCTGTCGCCGCACGTCATGGGCACCTTCGTGCCGCTGCTGAGCCAGGTGGGCGAGGACTTCGTGCAGCGCGCCCGGGCGCAGGTGCGCAAGAGCGGCCGGGAGCGCTGGACGGCCGACTTCACCGACGAGCTCTTCCGCTTCGCCCTCGAGTGTGAGTGCTGCACGCGGCCACATCCCGCGAGGAGCAGCCCTGGGAGAGGCGTTCCCGTGGGACTGCCCTTGGTGCGGTGCGTGGCAGCGCGACGCATCTCGCCAGCCTCCTCCAGCAAGGGCTGAGGGCACTTCTCCCCCCAGAACGCTGGTCTAGAGGGACATGCTGTCCCCAAACAGGAGTGTCCCACTCTGGGACACCCTCCTCCCCCTCTCCCCCTTCTCAGCTACACAAGATCCAGCTTCCACATCTGGACACCTCTCTGTCATCTGCAGAAGGGTCACCAACTGCTGGTCCAGCTTCTACCCCATGGCAGATGCCTCCAYGGGCCTATGCAGGAGGGCAGTCAGGAGCCCTCTTGGCTGGAGGCAGTCCCCAAGGGAGGAGGGACCTGGAGGGGACAAGGGGACAGGCCGGGGGTTGCAGGCCGCTCACTGGCGCTGTGGTTCCAGCCGTGTGCCATGTCCTGTACGGGGAGCGGCTGGGCCTCCTGCAGGACTTCGTGGACCCCGAGGCGCAGCGCTTCATCCACGCCGTGAGCCTCATGTTCCACACCACGTCGCCCATGCTCTACGTGCCGCCTGCGCTGCTGCGCCGCCTCAACGCCAAGACGTGGCGGGACCACGTCCAAGCGTGGGACGCCATCTTCACACAGGGTGAGCGTCCCTCCACCATGCTTGGAGCACCAGGATCTGGCCTTGGACCATTCCCGATCCGTCCCGGAGAGCCCGGGAGCCTTCGCTGGGTGTCAGCGCCGTGTCCGCGTTGTGTCTCCGCAGCGGACAAGTGCATTCAGAGCGTCTACCGAGACCTGCGGCTGCACCGCAAGAGCCCCAAGGAGTACACGGGCATCCTCTCCAACCTCCTCATGCAGGACAAGCTGCCCCTGGATGACATCAAGGCCAGCGTCACGGAGATGATGGCAGGGGGAGTGGACACGGTGAGGAGCGCGCGGGCCGTGGCGGTGGCCGCGTCCCGGGCGGCTCTGAGTCCTGCTGCTCCGTCGCAGACCTCCATGACGCTCCAATGGGCCATGTTCGAGCTGGCGCGTGCCCCGGGCATCCAGGAGCAGCTGAGGGCAGAGATCCTGGCGGCCAAGCAGGAGGCGCAGGGAGACAGGGTGAAGATGCTCAAGAGCATCCGGCTGCTCAAAGCCACCATCAAGGAAACGCTCAGGTGCTGGGGAGTCCCTGGGGTGCAGGGGTCCCCTGTCCCCTGCTCACACCACTCCAGCGGTGAGCGCCTCGTGGCCGTGGCCTCTTGGGCACTGCCCTGACTCTCGCTGTGCCCCAGGCTGCACCCCGTGGCCGTCACCCTGCAGAGATACACCACGCAGGAGGTCGTCCTCCAGGATTACTGCATCCCGCCCAAGGTGAGCCCGCCAGGCGCGGGGGAACAAGGGTATCCGGTGGCCGTGCGGCTGCCCTGGGGCATCCTCCTTGTCCCCTCCGCAGACCCTGGTGCAGGTGGGGCTTTACGCCATGGGCCGCGACCCCAAGGTCTTCCCCAAGCCGGAGCAGTTCAACCCCGAGCGCTGGCTGGCGACCGGCTCCAAATACTTCCAGGGCCTGGGCTTCGGCTTCGGGCCGCGCCAGTGCCTGGGCCGCAGGATCGCCGAGCTCGAGATGCAGCTCTTCCTCATCCACGTGAGTTGGCCCACGCCCCCATCGGGCACCCAAAAATCCCTCTGGTTTAGGCATTTTCCATTTGCTTTTTTCCTCCCTTCCAGCTGCTGGAGAACTTCAAGGTGGAAACCAAGCGGGCCGTGGAAGTCGGGACCAAATTTGACCTCATCCTCATCCCRGACAAACCCATCCAGCTCACCTTGCGTCCCCTGGAGACCCAGGCCTGAGGGGACCCGAGGACCCGGTCTGGGCAAAGCGGGCTGGACCGGGCCRGTGTGCATTGGACCGAGCTGCCCCCCTAGCCGGGAATGCACCTACACATCTCCGATGCTTGGCAAGCGCTTTATGCCCTGGAAAGCTCCTGCTGTTATTGCAGCAAGACTCCAGGACGCGGGAGAAGGCCGTGAAGGTCCCGCGGCTGCGGCCTTGGCTCCGCGTCCGCCCTGCCTCTGCTCCAGCTCATCAAGGCTGCGCTTACGCCACTGCGCAGATAAGACCAAGGAAGCAGCGCAGCGGCTGCGGTGCCCCCGAGCGGGCCGGGAGCCCCGGGCCCGTCCCCTGTGGGGCTCCCAGGGCTCGGGGACCGGCCCTCGTGCTGCTCGCCCTCCGGTTTGCTCTGTAACTTAGTCATGCCCAAGCACCGGCTGCTCTTCATGCGCACGAGTCCCGCGTTTCCGAGTCTTTCTCCATACAAAGCCAGGTGCCGGACGGGGACACGAAGGGCACAGAGCAGATGTCCTGGTGTGTGCTAGGGCAGAGGGTCCCGCTGCTGGRGTCTCCTCGAGGGCGGCACGGGCTCTGCTGGCGCCTTATGATGGGAAAGGAGAATTCTGCTCGTTTCGGAGCTTGGCCATTCCTTGGCTAACACGGGCCGGTCCCCCACACTCACTGCGACCGCGTTGCGGGCCAAGGTTAAGCCCCCAAATCCATGGTCCTGCTCCAGCAGGCGCGTGCTCAGCTCCTGCTTCTCCCGTGCCCACCTCCTGGCAGCGTCGGCCAGCTGCGGAGCAGGGCGCTCAGGGCAGCCGCGGGTACCCGGCGCCGGAGCGCGGCGCTGCCGAGCGCGGCTCACCTGCCGCTCCAGGACGCGGCCGCGCGCTCCCGCTCGCTCCAGCTGGGCCAGCAGGGACAGCTTCTCCCCGCTCACCGCTGGGGCTGCTGGCGGAGCGGGGGCGGCGGGGGGCACAGGGGGCCGAGCTCTCGCCAGCTCCTCCCGCAGCCGGCAGTTCTCAGCCAGCAGCGCGTTGCAGAGCTCCCCGGCCGGGGCTTCGCCTGCCACAGCRGGATGGGGTGTCACAGGGTGCCTGTGGGTGCTCCCTACGGAGCTGGCAGCTCCCGGCGGCRCCAGGAGCACCCTCGCCAGGTCCTGCTCGCACGCACCCGCCAGCTTCTCCGTGCTCCTGCCCGCTCTGGAGAGCTGCTCCTCCAGCATCTGCTCCATGGTCTGGATGAGCTGCGGGGGGAGCGGAGCTGTCCCACCTGATACCGGTACCTGGTACCGGTGCTGGGTACCAGGGCCTGGCCCCAGGGGGACGGTGGCCTCAACCTCCAGGACATGAGGCTTGCAGGCACTAAAGGAGGGTGGTGGCGCCCCTCTCTGGGAACCCTTCTCCCTCTCTATCCCTATCCCGAGGATCTCTATCCTTCTCACCTGCTATCAGGACTACACGGCCCCCATCAGGGCGTGTGCCCCCTGCCTGCCCCCTCTCACCTTCTCCTGCTGCCTCACTGTCTCCTCCAGGCCCTTCATCTTGGCCACCTTTTCCTGGTAGCTCCTCAGTGCTGCTCGCTGCTGCTGCTGGGCCCTCTGGAGCATCACCAGGTCYTTCTCCCGGTCATTTTTCTAGCAGGAAGGGAGAGAAGGAGCAGCCAGGGGACCCTGTGCTGTGCCCCGAGCTCCCGGGCACCTCCCTGACTTTTGTGGCCCTCAGAAACTAGGGTGCAAAGCATCTCATGGAGGAGATGCCAACRCTGCCAGCCCATCCAGGCTGGTCCAGCATGTCCACTCAGGGCGGGAGGGACCCGAAGCTGCAGGTCCCCTCCACGTGGCCCAGGCTCTGTGCTGCCCCATCCTCCTCCTCTCCCTGCTCCCCACGCCCGGGGCACCCCTCTACCCGAATGAGCTGGTTCTGCAGCTGCTGCACGCGGTCCCGGAGCCTCCGCGTCTCGGCCGCGCCGGCT